GAGCTAAGGAGAAGGCAGCGGTGCGCTCCGCGTTGCAGGCAGAAGAGCTGACTCTCCAATCTCCGCTCCTCTCTCCGCCCCCGCCCGGAATGCTGAGTGCCCAGGAAGGAGGCGGAAATGAGCGCGCTCAACAGCCCTCCAGCCGGGTGTTTACTTAATTAGGGCTTGCATCCCGAGGCTCGTTTGTGTTTAACCGTCCGCCTAATGGCTTCGTCTGGCTCCGGGCCGGCGCGGGGGAACCTGCGAGGCGAGCGTCGGCCTGGCCACTCTGTCCCGCCTGGGGCCTACTCCATTGCGCCGCGCCCGTGCGCGGAGACCTGACCCCCGTTAGGCATAAAAAGCGCCCTGTGGGAGATCCAGGCCCGGAGGGCGCGGAGCTCAGAGAGCAGCCCCAGGCTTTCCCCACCGCGTGGTTCACCCCCAGCCTCAGTCCCAGCCCCAGCTGCTGGGCTCAGCCGCCGGATAAGGGAGTGCTCCCGAGATACCAGATGCCACTTTGCTCGTTGTACCCTCAGCCATGAAATTGGAGGATTACAACGCTTCTCCTCTTAGTTCAGGGGACGTGGGGTTGCTAGAAAGAGAGACGGCTCGCCAGGCATCTAAGAGCGATGATACCAGGCAGCATTTGGGCACCTGCTCTGTGCCAGATACTATGTTTAGCGTTTTAAACCTAATTTATTTAATACTCACCTATGAGAGGGTAAAATACTAAGATCATAACCGCCCCATTTGACAGATGCAGAACTGAGGTCCAAGGGGTTTATTTTACTTCCCGGAGGCTTCACTGCTACTAAGGGATGGGACCTGGGTTTGAACCCAGGCGGGGCCGGCCCAAGGGCCCGTGCTAGGCCTGAGAGAACAAGACCCCCCACCCTCTCAACGCAAGCAATCCATGGCTTAGCCACTGGCCTGGCCGGGAGAAGGATGGGTAGGTTACCAAGTTAGCCCTGGAAGGTCAAAGAATCTGTGATTTAAAATTCCAGGCCCGGCGCCGTTTCTCACGCCTGTAATCCCAGGACTTTGGGAGGCCAAGGGAGGTGGATCGCCTGAGGTCAGGAGTTCGAGACTAGCCTGGCCAATATGGCGAAACCCCGTCTCTACTAAAAATACAAAAATTAGCTGGATGTGGTGGCGGGCGCCTGTAGTCCCAGCTACTCGGAGAGGCTGAGGCAGAAGAGTCGCTTGAATCTGGGAGGAGGCGGAGGTTGCAGTGAGCCGAGACCGCGCCACTGCACTGGACGACATTGAGACTCCATCTCAAAAAAACAAAACAAAAAAACTCTCCAGTCTCGTCCGTTCCTCAAACCCTTAAATCTGAGCTGGGGACGGGGAGGGAGAAGGACGAGGAGGTGGCATCCAGGGCTTCTCAAGGCAGCAGGAGAAGGTGGAGGAGGAGTGAGGGGACCGGCGATAGAGACTGGCCAGGAAAGCTCAGCTCCCTGGGGAAGGGCTTGCCAGGGTACTGATTGAAACTCAGGACCGTTTTTATGGCCAGAGCCCACTTGTGTACGGCAAAGAGGAAAGCACTTCATGTTTAACGTAGTGGAATGGGAGTAACGTAGAGGAATGAATCCCAGGTCTGGCGTTTATCTCCTAGGAAGAGTGTGGGAGAGCTGTTTTCCAAGGGAGACTCTCTGGAAGCTGCTTTGCGCAGCAAGCAGTTTTTACGCAGGTTATATACAGCATTTCAGACCAATTTCAAAACCTCTGCGTTTTAAAAATTGCCTTTATTTATATTTTACAGAAAGTTGAGAAAGCGTTATTTATATGGGGGGTAGGGGTGCTGGAGGTTATGGGACTAGTAACCATCCTCTTAGCTCGCACCCTTTGGCACCACTACAGCTTGCAAACTCTGGGACTTTCTCTCCTAGCTTCCATTTGTTTAGCTGTGTAATGGAAGCAGCAGCCTGGGTGTGGCGGCTCACGCCCCTAACCTGAGCACTCTGGGAGGCGGAGGATCGCTTGAGTCACGAGTTCGAGACCAGCCTGAGCAACATAGGGAGCCCCTCCCCCCCCTCCCAGCTCTGCCACATCTCTACAAAAAATTTTAAAAAATTAGCCGAGTGTGGTGGAGGAAGCCTGTAGTCTCAGCTACGCGGGAGCTGAGGCAGGAGAATCGCTTGAGCCCGGGAGGTCGAGGCTGCAGTGAGCCGAGATCGCGTCACTGCAATCCTGGGCAACAGAGCGAGACAGTCCCCCCCCCCCAAAAAAAAAGATGGGGAAGTTGTATCTAATTCAGGAACGCAGTCCCTCGGGACCTGCTAGTTTAAACCCCGGAGGATCCTCCCCGGCGGGCTGGCACGGGAGGTGGAGAAAGAGGCTTGGGCGGCCCCGCTATAGCCGCGTGTAGGAGGACACACGGGCTTGCTTCAAAGCTTTGGGATAACAGCGCCTCCGGGGATCATGAATGCGGAGCCTCTGTTTTCAGTAGACTTCAGATGTGTCTCCACTTTTTTCCGCTGTAACCGCAAGGCAAAGAAACATTTCTCTTCCCGTACTGCGGAGGCTGAGGAGTACGCTGAGTGTTCTTTTCTCCTCTAACTCAGAACTGCGAGACAGGGGCTGAGTTCCTGCAGAGAACAGCTCCAGAAAAGCAAGGAGAGCGCAGGAGGGTATCTGGGAGGCCAGGAGGGGTTCGCTGGGGCCTCAACCGCGCCCGCATCGGTACCACCTGCGAAGGGGCGGGACCTCGTGGTGCTGGACCAATCAGCACCCACCTGCGCTCACCTGGCCTCCTCCCGCTCGCTCCCCCGGGCTGCGGTGCTCAAAGGGGCGAGAGCGGAGCAGAGCACCGGCCCGCCGTCGCGGCAGCTGCCTCACCCCTCTCTCTGCAGCCATGGGGCTCCCTCGTGGACCTCTCGCGTGTCTCCTCCTCGTCCAGGTACTCCACAGCCTCGCCCTGGCCCCGACCGGGACCGCTCCCTGGGGGGCGGGCGGGGTCCGCCTGGGGAAGTGGCGTCGGAGAGAGCCCGGGGCTGCGCTCCCTGGGGCCAAGGGAGTCCCAGAGGGCCTGTGAGACTCTGCAGGGTGGGGAGTGCAGGGCCGGGCACTCCTGTGACCCAGCCTCCGTCTTCCCTCTCTGCCCTCGGGCGCAGGTTTGCTGGCTGCAATGCGCGGCCTCCGAGCCGTGCCGGGCGATCTTCGGGGAGGCTGAAGTGACCTTGGAGGCGGGAGGGGCGGAGCAGGAGCCCAGCCAGGCCCTGGGGAAAGGTAAGACCCTCCGGGTGGAACCGCGGGGTAGGGGCCGCAACGTGAACGCTCTGGTGTGGCCCGCGCGAGGGGTGTTCGGGCTGGGGCAAGAGACTCCTGGCGCCACCTCAGGTCCCGGGGAGGCGCAGAACGCGCCCCGGGGGCTAGGGTTGGGGGTGGTAGCTGACGAAGAAAGCTGGGCAGCAGAGCGCCTGTGACATCCAGCCCCCGTCCGGTAGCCACTGCCTACCTTTACCCCCTCCTCCGAGGTGCCGGATGGCTGAGCCCCTCACCCAGTCTCGACGTGGGAAGTTCTCCCCCGCTGGCCCCAGCAGAGGAATGCGCCGGCCACATTCTTCCCCCAACCCCCGCGCAGGTGTGGGGATGAGCCGTGCCCCGGGCAGCCCCCTTCGCCCCTCTCGGGCCCCCTTTGTGAACCGTGCTTTGTGTCTCCGTCAGACAGACCGGGTCTGTTTCTTTTCTCCGCGCTCCCCTACCCCGCCTCCCTTCTTCCTCGGCAGCTGGAATGCACTCTTAACCCTGCCCTTCCCGGAGGGCCTGCGCCCCTGCAGCCTGCCTGGAAACTGGGCCCTGGCACACCTGGGCTGGGGCTATCACGTAGGGAACCACCCCGCCCCCAGCGTCTCGGGCCTGGGATGCTAGGTCACTGGGGGAAGTCTGAGGGGGAGAGTGTCCCAAGCTGGCAGGCCTAGGGCTATGGGGGCGATGGACGGGAGATCAAAGCACATTTTTGATCCTTCAGTTACTCCTACACCCCACCCCAAGTTCAAAAACCTGAGGGGGTGGGGGGTGCAACTTAAGTGAGGAGAACCAGTGTCTTATGAGACCCAGGCTGTTGCTGGCTAGTGGAGGGCTTTCTCCCTCTCAGTTAGGAGGACAATGGGTGGGGGCTCCAGCAAGGGATGAAACCTAAGTTCTTTTTTTTTTTTTTTTGAGGCAGAGTCTCGCTCTGTCGCCCAGGCTGGAGTGTAGTGGCCGATCTTGGCTCATTGCAAGCTCCGCCTCCCGGGTTCACGCCATTCTCCTGCCTCAGCCTCCTAGTAGCTGGGACTACAGGCGCCCCGCCACCACGCCCGGCTAATTTTTTGTATTTTTAATAGAGACGGGGTTACACCATGTTAGCCAGGATGGTCTCGATCTCCTGACCTCGTTATCCTCCCGCCTCGGCCTCCCAAAGTGCTGAGATTACAGGCCTGAGCCACCGCGCCAGCGAAACCTTAGTTCTTAAACGGGTAAAACCCTGGATCCTTGGGTGGGGTTTCAGAGGATCCTTACACTGAAATTTTTGGGAATTTGAGTATTCATTTTTGGGGGGAAGGAACTGTGGCTTACCTGGCTTTCAAAACATTGAGAATCCTTGCTACCCAGCATTCTTCTAAAATCTCCATCAACTTACTCCTCATCCCAGGCACAAATTCCCACTGCTTGCATGTGGGGCTGTCAATGCCGAGGGGACAGAGTGGCTCTTTTATTTCTCCAAAAGAGGATTGAGGACCTTGAGTCTGTGGAAGCCCTTTTTAAAAAAATTCTTTCTCCAAGTAACTGTAGATTGACAAAACAATTAACACCCGGGCTAGGCTAGGCTCTTTAAACCCTTGGCTGTAGGGAGCTGAGGAGAGGCATTAAGAAGCCATGCCTCATAAACTTTAAATTCTTGCGCAGGGGTTTATTACTGGCTGGCTAACAAACTGCAACTCAGCCAACCTGTAAAAATGTGAACTCGGGCAGGGCCCCAAATCCAATTCCGGCTCCCTGAGGAAGCCTTATTGCTAACCAGACTTCTGCCAAATCTACACCCCACCCCCATTGTCAAGTTCTCTGACTACAGCCTCCCAGAGCAGGCTATAGCTTTGAGTCAAGTTGTCTGTACCTTCTTTCCTACTGAAGCAAAAAATATCAGATTAGCTGTCACTTCACTAGGCTTGAGGTTTTGGGGGGGAAGCAGTGATCAGGTTTTGGATTTCATGGTTGAGTTGGCGTGTGCTTCCCGATGACGTCAGGCATTTTAAACCTTTAGAGGAAATTCAGCTTTCTCGGATGTCTGCTTTTCCACTGTGAAAATGGTGGGTTTGTGCCAGGAGCACACCTGGGTTATACAACAAAGGACGGGTTAATGGGCTTGGCGTACCTTGAAACTCCCTGCCACATGGCTGGGTCTTAGAGTAGGCTTCCGGTGGCATGGGCTGCTGCTTTCTTTTTTAAGTAAAAGCGCATTTCTTGGTCCAGTTAGTCCCAATAAATTGGGACTTCCCAACAAAACATCTTGCTATTTCTACCCTTGGTCTTCAGCTGGCACTTTTCTACCACCCCACCCGCACCCTAGTTCCTCATCCTCAAAACATACAGCCCCAGCCTGGATCCAGCCACGTTGAAAGGGTTATCCTGCAGGAACATATACACTCTCAAGTTTAGCCAAGCAGACACGTTTCCATATTGCTAAGGAACAATCACCCCTGTTGTTCGCCCCTGGGTTATGAATATCAAGGGTGTCTATGAAGTTCAGCTCAAAGAACTTATCTGATGTAATTAATGCCTTGTTTGTATGTGCATCTTCCCCTTCAAAGCCCTTTTGCAACTCTGAGCTTGGTTTATCCTCCTAACATTCCCTTGAAGCAGGTGAGGTAAATATTAAACAAGCTGAGCTTTTAATCTCAGAATTTTGAACTTCAGAAATCCCATAGTCTAGCCTTGCCTGAGGTTTCGAAGGTGGAGAAACAGAGGCACAGCTTAATGGATTGGATTCACTAAGCCAAACAGCTCATGAACTTCTTTGAGGGTGACAGACACAACCTTTACCTCTTGGTATATGTCCAGGACCTGGTACCTTACAGGATGCCCAGTCCTGTATGAATTATTAATTATGAATGAATTTGACAACCTTGTGAAGGGCGGCCCGTTTTATAGATGAAGCCTACATGACTGTGGCTTCACCGAGTCATCACTGCAGTGATCAGGTGGGATTTGAATGGAAATTTCGGACCCCAAAGTTCCCTGGTTTTTTTTTTTTTGAGATAGGGTATTGCTCTGTCACCCATCCCAGGCTACAATGCAGTGACCCAATCACGGTTCACTGCAGCCTCTACCTCCTGGGCTCTAGTGATCCTCCTACCACAGCCTCCCAAGTAACTGAGACCACAGACATGTGCTACCATGCCTGGCTAATTTTTAATGTTTTCTAGAGATGGGGTCTCACTCACTATGTTGCCCAGACTAGTCACAAACTCCTGGGCTCAAGCAATCTTCCCACCTCAGCCTCTCAAGCACTAAGATGACAGGTAGGATCCACCATGCCCAGCTCCCTGGCATTTTTTGACTACCAGAAAGCAGGGCCTGAGTGGAGAGGGTAGAATGTTGGATCCCTGAATCCCATAGCTCTAAATAACAAGCTCTCCTGGCCCCCTGCCCCAAGAGTGCTTAGTCTTTTTTATTTTTTTTTATTTTAGGGTTTTCCAGAAACATTCATGTAGAGGAAATTGGTTTGGCTTTAGTCTCTTAAGGGCCCAAGTGAGGGGTCTTGACTAGCTTAAGAGGAAAGGTTAATCTGGAGGGAAGGAGAGCTGGCACATTCCCCCATCCCAGTGCCACAGTCTGGGGGTCACCTTTCTTCAAGTGTGGTCTCGAAGCTGACAGTGGAGAGGTGGGAGGAGGGAACTTTCATGGTGTCAGTGCAGTGATTAAAAGTGAGTGACCTGCAGTGGTCTACTCATCCTTAAGGGCGAACAACTGAGAGAGGCAGCTTAATGGCAGTCAAACAGATGCAGTCCTTCATTATGGCCTTCAGCAGGTTCAGCTGACCCATAGTCAGCCTTTGGGTCAGATTAAAAACTAACCATCATCAGCTTTGGGAGGAAACTTCCAGGTTCAATAATGCATCTGACTGAGCACAAGTTAACATCAAGATGATTTTGTCTATTTCAGCTCTGGGTGTGAAAACGGCCTTTTATTGTGGAAGTCCCTACTCTGGGGTATGCCCTTTATTTACATTTCATTCTTCCTGTAAGCATATATTTCGCATCTGCATAGATCAGGCACTGTTCTACAACTTCAACTAAAGCAATGGACAAAATGAAGTCCCTGTCCTTGGGGAGCTTAACAGTCTAGTAATTTTTTTCTTTTTCTTAAAAACAGAGGTTTTATTGCATTTGGTCCACAGTCGGTATTTCACATCTCACGGTGCAGGGCCCCTGGGTGGGGTGTGTGGCCATGGGAGATGAAACAGTATAGCTGGTCAGGCCCAGAAGGGGAGACGGAGGGCTGGGGGCTTCTTAAAACCTACTGAGGGGCCAGGCATGTTGGCTCACGCCTGTAGTTCCAGCACTTTGTGAGCCTGAGGCAGGCAGATCACATGAGGCCAGGAGTTCAAGACCAGCCTGGCCAACATGGTGAAATCCCGTATCTACTAAAAATATAAAAATTAGCTTGGTGTGGTGGTGTGTGCCTGTAATCCCAGTTACTTGGGAGGCTGAGGCAGGAGAATTGCTTGAGCCCAGTAGGTGGAGGTTGCAGCAAGCCAAGATTGCACCACTGCACTCCAGCCTGGGCAACAGAGGGAGACTCCGCCTCAAAGAAAAAAAAAACCTACTGAGGACCACAGTAGGGGGTGGTCAGCATGGAGAGGGGGTCAGGCTTAGCCCCAATGACTCAGAATTCTACTTCCTTGTGCGGGTCTCAGTTTCCCCACTGGGCCCCTAGGCAGGCTTGAGGGTCCTAGAGAAAGCCAGCCACTCAGGAGCCTGAGATATTTTAGCATCCTGGCCAGGCCCCCTCTCCCAGGGGACTCATTTCCACTGTCCCTGCCCCATTCCTTGGGGAAAAAAACATATTTCTTTTTCTTTTTTTTGAGACAAGAGTTTTGCTCTTGTTGCCCAGGCTGGAGTGCAATGGTGTGGTCTCGGCTCATTGCATCCTCTACCTTCTGGGTTCAAGCGATTCCTCTGCCTCAGCCTCCCAAGTAGTTGGTACAGGCATGTGCCACCACGCCTGGCTAATTTTGTGTTTTT